CATTCAGCCTTTTTAATTTCGTTGTCTTCAACTCAAGAGGCGAATAATTTTAGAGAAGCAAATTCCAGTCCTATTTGGGGACAAGTAATGCAGGAAGAGTTACAAGCCCTCGATGACAACATAACTTGGTCCATTGTAAAACTTTCTCCATGGAAGAAGACAGTTGGGTGTTGTTGGGTTTATAAAACCAAGTTTCGAAGTGATGGATCTGTAGAATGACATAAAGCTCGCCTTGTTGCAAAAGGCTTCACCCAAACTTATGGGGTTGATTACAATGAGACATTTGCTCATGTAGCCAAAATGAATACGTTTCGTATTCTTTTATCTCTAGCCTTCAATCAAGATGTGAAGAATGCCTTTTTACATGGTGATATTGATGAAGAAGTTTATATGAGTATACCTCCAGGCCATCGGCTGGAGGGTCGTAGTGATCTAACATGCAGATTAAGAAAATTCATATATGGTTTTAAACAATCACCTCGTGCATGTATGCCAAACTCAGTCATGTTCTTATCAAGAATGGTTTTAAGATAAGTAATGATGATTCTTCCTTGTTCGTGAAAATAGGTATGAAAGGTATCGTTATTGTTTTGATCTATGTTGATGACATCGTTATTACTGGTAATGATTTTGTTGAAATATCAAGGCTCAAAATATTCTTCATACACAGTTTTCTATTAAGAATTTGTGGATTTTGAATTATTTTCTCGGATTAGAAATTGCGTATTCAAAAAAGGGCATATTTCTAAACCAAAGAAAATACGTATTGAATTTGTTAAAAGACACTAGAAAATTAGGTGGTAAGCCAGCTCGACACCTATAGAGTGTAATTCCAAATTAACACTTGATGGCAATCGTTTATTTGATGTCGGTCAATTCCAAAGATTGGTGGGCAGACTAATTTACCTCACAATTATTCGACCTGATATCTCATATGTTGTCAGCATTGTTAGCCGCTTTATGCATTCTCCACGAGTTGCACATATGGATGTTGTTCACTGGATGTTGCACTATCTTAAGGGGTCACCTG